AGAGGAAGATGCTTTGCAAATGCGCATAGAATAATCTAGTGGTGAAAAGTGGCAAGGAAAAATAGCCATAGCTCGACCTTCACGAGTGATTTCAAATTCAATTCTCTACAAATTTGCAAATTTCCAGCAAAAATCACCGCTTAGTTTTCAAAACTGTAACTTAAAATGAATCCTCATCGTGGAAAATACTGCTGTTGCGAGCGATTGAAGTGGAAAAAGCGCCGGAACAGAAATTCTGTCGACTAATAACAAGTGGTCCATTGGAAACAGAATTGAATCGTTTGGAAAGAGACTATTGGTTTTGCGAGCGAATTTTGAAATGTGGATCGCTGGTCGCATGTTTGAAATCTTTTTTGACAAGTTGGTCGATTGTTCGATTAGAACTCGGAATTTCCTTCGTCAGTGCATTTGAATTGCATTCACAGCCGCCGAACGGCGAGTGTAAAATCCGTCACTTGGGTGATGTCTCTATTCCAGTTGAAATGTTCTATTCCTGTTCTGTTCCGAGGAATAGAACAGAACAGAACCATTGTAGATCGGAATGGAATAGAAGGGTCCTCAGAAAAGGGACACGAGAATAGAATAGAACGCTCCTCAAAAAAGAGCGCACAAAATAGAATAGAATGGAACCGTTGAAGAGCGGAATAGAATAGAATCGAACATTTTGCCAAAAGTGTTGAATAGAAACATTAATATTTATGACTATACCCTAAATTACAGATGTTTATTGGGCCACTTTCACAGAGACGTTGAGAAAAGCAGCCGTCACTTCGAGGCCCCTGCTGATCAGTGTATACGTCTGATGAGTAGATAACTTAATGATTTTGTGAAAGCTCTTCCGCAATTCATTTCCTGCTCTAAAAACAAACACTATAAAAAAGTGATCAAAAATGCTCTAATGCGACAAAACATGTGAAATGTTTCAATATTCAGTATTATCATAGAAATTCAACCATTCTTATCGAATTATCAACAAAGGCCAGCGATATTGCTGTTAAACACATTCCAATCAATATATTTTTATGCTGGCTGTTCAGAATCTCAATCGAACGATCAATAAACTTGTCAAGAAAGCATTTCGAACATGCACTTAAACGATCCACATTAAGAAGTCGCTCGCCAAAGTAATATTCTTTTTCCGAAGGACTGTTAGGCGTCGAGCACGTGAAATTTTGACCCAGCACTTTTCCCATCTGAGATGTACGTAACACTAGTATTTGATGACTGCCAAATTTCCACTTGACTTCACCGAGAACTGCCCCAAATTTGAAGTGACAATGTGTCGCTTTGCAGAAATGCTAGTCTTCCTCCTGACCTACTGTTTGGAATCAGTCGTGAAGGTGGCGCTATGGCAGTTTCTCCTTCTCGCTTTGAACGGCTGAATTCAGTCAGTTCATTTGATATGATGACAATTCGCCGAATACGAATGCAGTTACACTTCGCCAAGTAACGGAACTCGCAGTTTTATTTGATAGGCGTAAAGAGATGTGAATTGCTTACCGATTTAAAGAGTATCAATTCGGGCAATTTATACATGACTTTGTAGCGCAGGTCGAGGAGTGTAAAACGTGATGTATAAAATGGACAGTAACAGAGACATATTTGAGATTTTTCATTTGGCTTGAAGTGCAAGAGTTTAGGAAATAATTGAAACTGTTATCCACCCGACCGGAGAAATTCATAACCAAGATATAAACCATCTTGTAGCCGAGATTGAGCACTTTACAAGAATTTTGACGGCAAATGTTGAGTTACGGGAGTTATGTTACTACGCATGATAAGTGGCGAGGTTCAATAGTAACAACTGGTATATGTTGGAGTAATTGAAATTGTGGTGTATGTTGTACGTTCTGTCTGCCTGAGAGAAATAATTAGTGAGGAAGATGTACAACATATCAAGGCAGGATTTATTAGTTCTGGTTGCACTGATTTCTTCTACGTGAAAGGAAATTCAATAAGATTTAAGAATAAAACCAAACGAATTCCACAATTTAATGCAAATAAAATCACAGATTATACAAAACTTGGAACATAGTAAAATCAACATACAAAATACTTTATACTATAAATAAGTATTCAGTAATAAAAAACGTATGAAATAATAACAACACATAACCTGAATATAATCAGCAAAAAAGCTCTTTGAAAGCTGATTAAATCGAAAAGTATTCGATTTAATGTGGAAATGTGTTTCTTTAGTTAGTAATTTGAACATTAATCATTTTAATCTCGTCACACGATGCTTTCAATGTTTTAAAAACGATGGTGAATAGAATGCATAAATGCATAAAAATATTTGATTAAATATTCATTCAGTTGCCATCTACATCACAACTCATCACCAACAAGATCATTTGAAGATGAAGAAATGATACGATATATACGAACATCCGTAGGAGCATCATAAAATTCTTCTTGCACATTCAGTCCCTCAACTTTGAGACTTTCATAAAACTTCTTATCTTTTTCGTAACGAATTCGACTGCTAAACAATATCAAAGTCGATTGGTCACTTGAAAGTCGCATTATCCTTTTCAATGAACTGAACAGTTTTTCGTTGTAAACCAAATCTGCTCCAAGGATAACCTTTAAATGAATGCTTATTACCATCATGCTTATTTTCATCATCGTAACTTACTTATTACAATTATTTGCATCAACTATCAAATCATACCGTTGAATAAAAATATTCCAACACCTGATATTTATGTTTCGGCTTATCGATTTGCCAATCGAGCGGGAATACATGGATGGTCTGTGCGTGTGTTAAGGTATTTCGTTGTATATTCTCACGAAGAAGTGGCACTGCAAATAGCTGATCGGTGCAATCAACAGCCGAAGCACCAATCTCAGATGCGATTATGCTTGGCAAACCGAGTCCAGCACCGAGTTCGAGAACGCGTCGACTGGTTATCAGATGTGGATGTGATATCAAATATTTTGATAATACAATTGCCTGAACTGCATGAATATTTAAATTTATCGCTGACTCGTTCATTCAAATGGTAGACAATTCAAATTTTGAATTTTCTTTTTTTTTCAGCAGATTTTCTACGCAATTATCAGATGAATTATTCAAGTTTTCTGGTTCTCAAGTATCTTGGAAATTACAAATCCTCCAAGCGTTTTGGAGCGCACTGGTGAATTTTTTATAGGCAGCAAGGGACAAAGTAAGGTCATCAAAGAATGAATTAGACATTGAAAAGTCAATAAATTTAGTGATACCGAATCCCAAAGAACACCGGATACACCGTTTTGATTCCATTTTTGTGTGAATTCGTACTGGCGATTGCTGATTCGGATTGTTCTATGAGTTTCATGAAATTCTTTCAAAATACTCGATTCGGAATATGGTACTATTGCATTTACTGATCTTTTTGATAAGTCCTCAATCGACATAACTCCTTCAAAATGAATTTCAAAAATTGTAAACACTAATATCTCCAATGAGCGTTTCATTATGATTCCACTGAAAATTATTTCAATTGGTACAAGAAAGCGTTGTTATGTTGTTTTGTACTGCAGTACGTTTTTTTTAAATGATATCTGCAATCAGTTCAAAGCATACAGGTGAAAAAGAAACCCTTGGGTTTACTGCGGCCTAGGTAAACTTGGCTTCATTCATGCTTCAGATATGCAACCACGCTGAAAATAAACGAGTCAATTTAAACGCTAAACGTCTTCAAATGAAAGGCTTAGTTCTGGACGTTTGCTTCATTCAATTCATGCGAAAACGCATAGACAAAACACGGTAAACAAATGACTGCAGGCCAAATGCCCTTGACGTGAAAGGGACGAAAGTTCTAAAAAATTTGGCAGACTCACCTCACCCATTGTGCTATTTTTCGGCAGCAATACCAACGGCTCAAAAAAAAAGCACATATTGCGGTCTTCCACTATCCTCTTGGATTTGTGATTAGCTTTTTTCATATAAAACGATTGTGACAATATATTCCTTTGTCGTTTCGCCATCAGATGATAAGGATCAACAGTCAGTTCGTCGGAAAAAGATGGTGGAATCAAGTGCACTTCAAGAATTCGAAGGAGCGCTGATCGATGGTAGGTCACTTCCTCAAATTACATCTTTCCATATCAGTCATCTCGAATTCTATTCAGCTTCCAATTCCACACTTTAAACAGTTGATTTTAGATGCATGGCAATGTGTCGTCAATCGAACTTCAATTCAGCGTAATTTGAGTTCATCAGATCTTGAAAAGTTACCTGATCTCTTGAAACTATTGGAGATTATGAATAATTTAGACCGATCTGAAGAAGCAGTGAAGCTTTTGCATGATTCGAGTTTGTCCAAAAAGGTTGGCGTTTATTTTGTTTGCCAATTAGATGTGACAGGTTTTTTCAATCACATTAGATGAAATCCCTTGAAGATACGATACGAAACGAACGAAATTTTGAAAAGTCCAAACCTTTCACTGTCTGTTTATGAGATATGTTTCCTTCCTTGTTTAGTGAAGTTTATTATTGTTCAGAATCAAGAACAAATACTTTCACTTCGAACAAGAAAGAGGAAGAAGACTGAAAGCAACTGGAATGTTGATGTTATGGTGGGAAATTCGCTCATTCATAAAAGTCTTCACCTGAAAGTTTCTCTACCAGTTGGACCACATGTCATCGAAATGACTGTTGAGAAATTTGGCACATTAAGGTAAACAAATACCGTGTGTTTTTGTACTATGGCAGGTGCTTTTTCAAAGTTAAAATGTTGCATAATACCCACCCACTCATGCTTGCACTTAGGTTCTGGCTTCAGCACTGACTAAAACATAGGTTGTGGCTAACTCTCGGCTTGTTTCTGTGTCGGTTTTCGTCCTTTGCTCGTTTTTTAGATTTCCACTCACATTGTCCTTTTTTGCTCGTCTCTCTATGGCAAAAGTCATGACGCGTTTTTTCTCTATCTACATATAGTAGTAGGCCTCTCATTATTTTGTCATTCGTAAAGATGATCTTATTTGTATCTTCGTATCTGCTCTCAGAGGCGCAGCTGGCAGAATTTGAGGAAGGGGCTCGCCATATCAGATATGACATAATTGATCTGGCCGAGGTACGAAAGAAAGGAACAGGTGCAGTAGACCGTCCAAACGGAAATTATTTATATTTTCATGGGGATAAAACTCGCTCCCAAGACGGAGTTGGATTTTACATCTCAAGGGGATGAAAAAGCAGAAGGATATCTTTCAAGTGTGCTTCATTGAGAATTGCTCAGTCAAAACTAAAAATTACACCTCGAACGAACCTCAGAACAATACAAGTATATGCACCACATAATGGACTTGATGACGCTGAATACAGCAAGTTCCTAGTTTAACTATCAGATACTGTCAATCTTGATAGAGCGACGTTCACTCTAATCACAGGGAATTTTAGTGCAATGGTTGGTAAGAAAAGAATAGGCGAAAATTCAATAGGATACTTCGGGAATGGCATCAGAAACAACCGGCGACAGGCAGTGGTTGACTTTTGCGAGGCTAACGGCTTGAAGATAATGAATAAAATGTTCAAAAAGAAGACGGGTAGGAAGTGGATTTGGAGAAGTCCAAATGACACAACAAAAAATGAAATAGGTTTTATAATTATCAATAAACGTATCATCCCCAAAAAAATGTGGATGTTTTGAATTAACGGATTTGGGCAACTAAAAGAACCCTGGCCGAACAGAAGATACTAAATAAATCAAGTTATCAAATTGCCATCAGGAGCAGTATGGTGAGAGAAACCGAATCCTATGAAACCTTGCAAAAAGAAATCAGAACAGCCATGGTAACAGCCGAAGAACCTAGACAGTGGCACTCGCAACTATCTGCAAGCACAATAAACTTAATGCAAAAGAGGAAACTCATGAAAAGGGATGGTAATCAACATTCAACGTTGGTATATATAGATTTATGCGAAACAGTAACTTAGAAAATTAAAGAAAACAGAAGGAAAAGGAATATGCAAATCATGAAGGAAGCTATTTCTTCAGGAAAGCTGGAAAGAGCAAGAAATGAAATGTTAAATGCGCTCTTCAGCTCCTGTTCACGTATAACTGCAGTTCGTAATTTTTACGTAGCTTCACAGAATTTACGAACTGAAAGTATCATTCGAGTCCCTTAACTGGAAAACTGTTGACAAAACTTGTCACACGTCAAATAGTGGGTTGATCATCCGAAAAGCTTCTCGAGAGCCAGAGTGGAACTACTGACCAATCTGGACTTACCTCACTTCGGGCACCTTGAATTGTCAACGCTTTTGCTTCAACTCACGTACAGTCACAGTTCATAATTTGATTTGTCTACACTTTTGCTTTCATCTGTCAAAATTCTGCAGTTAGGTTATTTCTCCGTTGACGATTCCCCGGTTGAACGTTTTTTTTTTCGATACTTTTCCAATCACGTAGTTGATACTTTTCTAGTTGAGGGAGTCTTCTTCGACGTTTTTCAATATACCCACTCGCCAGTGTGAGTTTTCTTCGACAGTATTACGCTAGCCCTGACATTCTAGTAAAATTTTGGTATGTAACTGCCTTGAATTGTTGAAAAAGCCCTCACGGAAATGAAAAATAACTCACTGGAATTTATGTTCCTGAACAGTTGCAGACTCTTCTTCGTCATCTGTAAATGTTTGATCAATTTTGGAATGTTGAAAACCTTCAGTTGCAATTGTTTTGAAGATTTCGAGAAATTCTAACAAATTATCAGATTTCGGTAAATTCTGAAAATTTTCAGTGTGATTACGACAGAAAATTTTTGAAGTTTGGTCGAAGTACTGAATTTTGGAATCTTAAAAAGTCGATTCGGTTGCATTGCGATCGAAATCAAGTTTCGTTCGGCTGCCATCCTCAACCTATATCCCATCCTATTCAATATCCTTCCGACTCTGTCAGCTTGTATATTTGATGCTACTTTTTAAATTTTTGTACGATTATTGAAACTTGCTCGAAGCAATTCTATGAAGCTTGATTTATCATTGTTTTATTGCAGATATGAAGTTGCATGTGCACTACAGAGGGTTCAGTCGTATTTATAGCAATGGTGTTATCATGTATACACATCTGATAATATTGACCATGTTGTCCATTGTATGAAGATATCATAAAACTGTTCTTTTCCATTCTTAGAATCAACGCAAACTCAAAAATTTCAAAACGACTTGTTCGTAATCGCTCTTGGATGCATAATTGAGGATTTCAAATGGCAGGATTGAGGACCATCTTCAGAAGTATCTAAGTTGCACTTTCAAATGAATGACGATAGCAATTTTCATACTGAAAGCACATTTTACGAAAGTATTTCGTGTCAGCCAACCTTGGCAAATAGCGGTCTACCTTAAGTACCTAAATCACTTCAGTATTGAGTGAGTTGAATCAAGACAGGCCAATTGAGGTCTGGTGACTGTATGGTTGAAATACTACCAACGAAGCATGAGTTAACCTCATTAGAGAATACGGAACCACCAACAACATTTGAACTGCTCAATAGATTTGCATTAGCATGCGATTAACAAATGGCATTTATCATGGTGGCTTCGGAATGTTCTGCTAAAAAGTCAGAAGTTGAGACAGCCAATCACACAAACGATTAAGACAACGAAGACCGACTCGAAAAATTTTGATTTTCAAAGAATTATTTCTCGGAAAGTATCACAAACAAAATAAAAATTTTGTGGAGCTTGGAAAGCTACATCAGAATCCGTTTTCAGTTTTAATGTTTCGCAGAAGCTTTTTCAGAAATCATCCCTCCAAAAGATCCAAGCTCATCAAAAAAATGTAAATAAAATTTTCGTTTTCCACATATACAGCGGGAAAGAAAAGCGAAAGGAAAAGACAGCTCAGAGGTCAATTTAGGGGATGCGTTCTATCGTTCATTTGTTTTTTTTTTGTTTTCTCGTAAATGAAGGAAACATTTGCTGTCACGCCAGGTAGGGGAAAAGAGTTCTATCTAATTTAACTTTAATGACTCATAAAAAAAAGGGAGAGGTAAGAGTACGTTTCACATGGTTGACAATTTGAAGTGGTCAAGTGCGAGACTGACGAATGATAAGTATATTCCAGGGCGGTTTTCCTTCTTTGAATTGATAAGGTAATTGGCTTGTACGATAATCTGGTTACGTAGACGCATATTCTAATGATCAGAGATGAACGGTTGTTAGGGTTGAGAAAGCATCAAGTGCCGTTTTGATGAACAGATCTAAAGCATTTCGGCTCCTTAAGCCATAACCAAACTCAAACTTGGGTAACTGAACCAAATTTGAGGTTCTTTGCCATACTTTTGATTTGTTCATCAACACGACACTTAATGCAGTCTCAACCCGAACAATCGTTTACATCTGATAATGTAATTACTGGACTGCTGAATTTAATATGCTTCGTTCACGATTATTCATATTTTCGATGAAGTCAGGATCGTCGGAGGGTGGTACGTTTTTTTCATTTAGCCTCCCACAAAAAACCACCACACCTAAACGACCATGATGTGAACAAATTACGAATAAAATTCGCCTTTTTATATGCCAGTGTCAACTTCCTGTGCCAAGGCATAGACCGAGGCTTCACCCACATTGCCTTTGCCATTTTCATTCAAATTTCGTCGCCTGCCGCACAACATATTTTATTACTTCAATCCAACTCTGCACTCAAACGATCATCATGCCCTTTGGAGGGATACCTTCTGGAAAAGGTTCTGCAAAAAATACAAACTGTAAACGAATTCTAACAGAGATTTTCATCCTCTACTATCTTCGTTCTTCCCGTTGACACTTGCATAATGGTGTAATTTGAGTTCATGCCTTTTCGTTTCGTTCATTTGCTCTGTTCGTCTGCCAATCTGACATATTTGCAAATCATCCCCAGACCAAGCAAGCAAGTGCGGTAATAAGAATGCCAATAACTGTCAGTGTGAAATCGTTATAAGAAATGGAGATTGGAACTGAAACAAATAGCTATTAATAGAGCATGAGTAATGGTATCGCGTTCTTGCCATCAATCAATCAATCATATGGAGCGCAACGAGCAATTGTGGAATGCGGCGCACGAATACAATGATTATTGCTGTGTGTGTGCACTGAACTTTATTCTTCTTCATTGTCAGCGTTTCATTACCACCTGTTTTCATTGTTATGGTAAATCGGCGAAAACAGCTTAAACCTGTAAAACGTAACGTTGCGTCTATCAATGTTGAACGTTTTATAAACGAGGATGACGATGCTGACAGTAGTGACCAAGAAATACTGGACGGCAGTAATAGCATTAATGATACCACCTTTAATGATTACGATTTGAATTTATCACCATTGGAACGTATTATTCAACAGGCAGAATTATCCGCCAGAATACAACCCGCACAGCAAATGTTAATGAAGTGTTCATCACCTTCTGAATACGATGATATCAGGTCGATAAGCAATTTATCACCGTCCTCATCCAGTAATATTCCATCGTCGTCGTCACCATCCTCACCGCTGACATTATTATCATATATAAACTCGATCCCATCAACGAGCGGTTCAAATTCTTTTCATGGTAAATACAGTGAAGACTCCCCTTTGAAATGCTTAGAAAGATATGTTAAGCCCAAACAGGAGTTAACCTACACCTCAAAGAAGTATTCATCAAATAAATCAGTTTGCCATAAGTCGTCTTCATTAAGAAATGTTTCCACTAACGCTGCATCAGCACCATATATATTGCCGTCTAAAAAAGGTGCATTATTTCTCTTCTCCACTATTTTGAATTTTTTTCGTTCTTGTTTATCATTATCCATCAATGATGTGTTGTTTATATCTTATTGAATGTTGAGTGCAGCCAATGATATTTAATTATCTATTTAATTTCAGAGAGTGATAGAGATGCAAATGAAGAAGAGGGTAATGCATTATGTGAACTATCTCAATTAGTCCATAAAGTTGGATCATTCCGTAAAATGTCTTGCACCTACAGTAATAATAATAATACTAATAATAATAACAGTAGCATGCAAAAAGATGATAGTTGTGCTCAAAGCGTATTCACGTGTTTACAATGCTCACGTAGCTACGAAACACTCGATGAACTGGTTTTTCATATCAGTACGACAAAACATTTCACAAGAATCACCAACAAAAGCATTGAACCTGTGTTAGTTATCGTTGTTGTTGATTAATTTTGCAGTTTGTTTGTTGTCAACTAGATCTCTGGAACTGATTCAGTGAATATATTGTAATTAAGTGAATGGATTAATACTGTGAAATTAATCTAGGGCGATCACCATCTTACGATATGGTAATTATCTTTAGATGAATATTAGAAGTGAGTGTAATAGTTAGGTATTTTAGAGCACCATGGGAAAAGGGAGTGATGTCAGTGGGTGGTAACGACAAGCATCGAACGCGTCAAAAACGTCTCCTTGAATGTACGTTGTGTGGACAAAAGTTTAACGGTGAATGTTATTTGAATTTAACCTAGAGGCAGATCCGGTAGCTCGTTACGTCGATCATGACGAGGTTTTTTATCAAGGACCGCGCAGTGTCATTTAAAGCTCAAGTTTTTTATTGAATAACATAAAAGTGATTATTGCGTCAATCATTTTCAGGTGATGCCGAATACCACCTACGTTACAAACATAAATTCGACAGCTTCATGGATTGGATTTCTGTAATCAGAATAGCGGATACACGTTCAAATCCTGATAAAAACAGCATCGAATTGAACAAACTTCAAATGATTATCAATGGTGTCAAGAAGTAATCGATTCTTACTCTTTGTGAAGTTTTCTGTCTGAATTTGTGGAAATTGAAATTTCGCGTATTTCCGTATGAGAACAATCTTTGGGATTTTTTTTGAACTGTCTTCAATAAATTTGTTAAATTTTTGCGTCGATTTTTTTTCCTGTTATTCATTTCTTTCTAGTATTCGCGACAAAACTACCACGAGCTCTGATTAAGAATTCAGATGTCTTTATGAGTGAATGTTTCGAGTTTAAATTAAAGCATGAGTTGAACGAAATTAAATGTGATGAAATAACTTCCGATTCGTTCAAGATAATGGGTTACTTCTGTCGATGAATCGTTTGATGTGATGCTGGTTTCAGTGTCAGTATTTGTTAATTTATTTGTTTCATCGTATTTGAGTATGCATTTCTAACTTGTTGCTTTTATCTGTTTTATTCGCACTTGTTTTTGGGTGCTTTTGATTCGCAAATGGAATTTCGTTGTTACTATTTCTGTTTCATTTTGACTTCAACTTTTTTGCAAGAACTGTTTCGAATCGGTCAAGTGTAAAGTTATCCGTAAAATATTTTTCACCCAAGATATCGAACATCAGTCCATTCGTCATCATCATCTTTATACTGGAACATCATAAAACTTCAACAAATTCCGTTGTTTTATTCAAATATTTCAATTTTTTGAAAAATTCTTCCGGCTTTTTCTCACTTTCAGGCTTTGTGGTGTAAATTTCACTTGTTAACTTTATGTTATAATTATTTAAACCGATTTTTCTCCCGAAACAAGCAATAAATGAAATCATAAGCTTGTAATCTAGAATCAAGTCCAATTTATTGAGCAAACCCTGAGAACTCAATACTAGCTTAATCAAACTGAACTGCCACTCATATTATATTCTCTTGACTACAGAAGAAGCTAAACAACTAAGTCGATCTTTGAATACCACAGAGTTGATGTGTGAAAGCGTGGTTGGACAAAAGACCTGTACCCAAAAGCTCTAATCGCACTGCTCACTCACTATTCGCAACAAAAAGCGAGTAGTACAATGTTAATTAATCAGCACGTTGTTCATCGTGGAATATCGAATTTTGGCGACGTTATTTTTCCTACGTGATGTGCACGGTTCTCCCATAAAAGTGCCTTCTTATATCGTGCCAGCAAAAGATGTTGTTTTGCATAGGCAAGATAATATGTGCAAGGCGAATTTTTGTGACAGAATCATAAGTAAGACACAATAGCATGACGACGTGAGAATTTCTGATGTGCGAATTATAAATGTCTTTCAATTTGAAATGGACATTATTTGCCGACAGTCGGATATCCCGATGCTCGCAAAAATCTATGGGATAATTGCTAAAGTAAACAGGATGTTTTCAGTGTACATCTTCGATTGAGATTCACACCTTGATCTTACTTATACTATTTGTTTGCACATACCCTTGTGTTGTGTACCCTCATCGCAGTGGCGTAGCCGACCCCTTGCCACGAAGCTGACAGTGGCGTACTCTCTCCTTTGAATACGCCGCTGTATCAGCTTCGTGATGATTCCATAGATCAATCTTATAGGTGGTCGCGAGCGTTAAGTAGCATAATGGCTAGAGTAACTTTTCTTTTTACAATAGTTCATTACTCATATGATGAAATTAATGGAGAGTCAATTTTAAAATATTATAACTGGGTCCTCCAGACTTCTGAATTAGACCTTTCATATAGCATAACGATATAAATACCCTGAAGATGTTCTTTAGGGAGATTGGATTCAACTTGTAATAGTTGGTTGGCGACTTTAACTTAAAATTTAGAAACTATTCAATCCCAAAAATAATTTCGAAACTGTGACCCTTAGTAGCATGGTATATTTCCTTGGCGCTCTCTTGCAAATGAATTCATATTTTTTATACAAAGACACTGAATGTTTGGCAAGAAGCTGATTTTCCTCACTATGACACAAAATTCGACTGCTGCAACTCCATCGCCTGACGTATTTCCATGTTGCTCTTTGAAGAATGGATATGATGATGGCGCACAAACCCTCGAACCATTTATGATCCACTGTGAGTCGTGCGTCCGTCACACCTGACATTTTCTTAAGAGGTATTTGAATAACAAGAGCGCTTTCTTATGAGCCATTCTAATCAAGCACTGCCTTTGAAAGTGAAGTATCTGTTGGGTCGTAATGAGTTCTCTGATTCTGAAAATGGAAATCGACAACAGGTATATAAGATGCTTTTCTCTTCGCCACGTTGAATTCAGATCGATTTTCGATTCTTTTCGTGAGGCAGTACATTTTTTTCACCGACTGTCAGCAAATAATGTCCATTTCACTATTTTTTCACCATTTTCACCAATAATAATAATAATAAAAGTCGCCATTCACTTATGCTCGATGATAACGAGGAGGTTGTGTCGAAGAAGGAAATGAAAGTAATGCGTGATGACAATTGCAAAATTGACGACTTTTATTGTCGTAGGAATGAAATGTCTCCGGTTTTTATTCGTTCATTTTTGTCCCGTCCTATTTAGTAATATTTGTTCTAACTGATTTCACGGTACGAACCAAATCAATGAAGTGTAGTGAATATATGCAAACCAGTATTTGTCGGGGAATAACTTTTTGACTGCGATAAAGAGCCCCGTCGAGGAGCAAAGTGGCCGAGGAGCACTCTGACAAAAAGTTGGAGAGCGACTTGAGGGGAGGGGGGAAGAATTCGTCCAGAATGTGATCCCGACAAAAAGGTCAGGAGCAAAATTGCCGAAAGGGTGGGGGGGGGAATCCCGTCGGGTAGGACGGTGAGCAATTCAACGTAACTTTAAAGAAGATTTTCCCTCTCGATGTACACCACTGGAAAGAAACTGAAAACTTGATTCAATAACAGTGAACTCCCGACCACAGCTTGAAATAGTAAGTTGCTACAGATTTGTAAACTTCAGAATGTCACTTGTTCCAGTTTAGACGGCAACATTTATTGACAAATACTCAACACTTAAAAGAGATACAAAAATAAGTGATGATGAACTGAGAGTACGAGTAATACAATAAAAATGCATGTATTGGTTAAATAAGCTGCAGCAATAATGCAACATATTCATGTTGGTTCGTAATAATTACACTTTTTAAAAATTACGTCAGCACGAAAATGTTAGTTTCCGGGAAAGCATCACTACCTAGAAAAGCATAGTTTTTCTTCCCACACAAGGTGGAGAAAATGGTGGTTATGTGCAATGTGACGTGTAAAATTCTGTACTTTTTCAGACAATCAAATTTATGCTTTTTGGCTATTCGCTGGATTTTCACGGTTATTTACGATCAAACTGATCAAAGATTAATTCCATTCCAGATTCCTCAAGCAGAACCGTCCCAGAAACTGACGTTTTCATTTTCGTGTAATTTTTTGTAACAAAATATTACTGATCATAATGCAGTGCTGAAAAAATAGTTATCATGTAAACTAATGCATAACATCAGAAGGTAATCAAAAAGCGATTCGTGAATTCATGGATGGTGTGGAAGGAATTGCATGAAACAAGTATTGACCAATTACAGAATGAATGTGAAAAAAGGCAATCAAAGAGGACAAGCAAAGAAATAAAGGCGTCATAAAAACCAAAGCACTAATCAATGGAAAACGGATTGATCCGTTCAAGACGGCCCAAACTTTGACATGTAAACTTTTATCCATTGCGCAGAGCATTCACCGTGATGGGAGCTATTCTCAGACAGTTTTCTCCCCGGCTTTGTGGTCGCAATACTCTCATCGGCTAAAAAATTCACCCCCTCTTGACAAACACTAACCATTACTAGTCACGGGGTATTTGGATATGAAGTCGAAATGACTAAGAAGATGAATTTCGCACTGCACAAGCGATTCACATGAAGGTGAAAAAATCACGTACCTATTACTATTCTAAATCGGAAACCTACATTAGTATGCCCTGCGATCTGTGACGAGATGCGCATCGTTTTAAAAAGCCTGGAACAATGATTACGAATGTTTTTCGAAGTAGAAAGAATTTACATGCCTCTTTTTGAACTCATGAGATCAGGTCGAAATTCCATTGCTAGTACTACGCGCAAACTAGTGATGGCATCCGATCGATGGTTGGCCGGGTTTTTCCGACAATTTCGGTCGGAATTCCGACTGTCCGAACTTCAAAATGTCGGGTCNAGTCGGAATTCCGACTGTCAGAACGATGAAAAGTCAAGTCGGTCGGTTATCGACCGACTGAAATTCCGCTCGGACGCCATCATGACCGTAGGGTTCTAACCGAACTTCGGAATTGGCTGCAGAATATGTATTCGTTTTTTCTTTTCGTATTGCGAAACTGTGATTCAATGATGCCTTGAACAGTGCTTTTTGTAATGTCTTGGCACATTACGAAAACCACTTTTACGATATTTTTTTACTAATAATACCAAAGTCAGCATTATTATGAGTTCATTTCATTGTAACAAATCTATTCTAGTTGATTAAAGTACTTTTTTCACATGAGTGGTTGATATGCTGAGAGTAAGACGAGCGTTGACCTAATTAACTCAAAAAAATCCAACAGTAAGTTTCAGGCTTCAAGTTACCATCCATTCTGCGTATGAGTAAACAGAAAGGTTTTCTTTTTCAGAACAATGAAGGCGATAAATCGCTGAGAATTAGTTAAAGTATACTTGTCAATGTTAATAATAATAATTATCATTGACAAGTATACTTATTGTTTACTTATTGTTTGTTTACTTACTTATTGTATACTTTATTATCATTGTTACTTACACATCGAGCGGTTGTTTTGTTGATCGCGGTTAGCGATCGGCGGAATGCTTATTTTGTAGACTTATGAATATTTACTGGATTGATATTTGGCTACGTTTAATTGTGCAAAGTATTCACGGCAACTAATTAAATACTCGGTTGTACTCACTTGGCCTGCTCGCCTAGCCAGCGGGGTGGCTACAATCAAGGCTAAAACAGTGCGAACGGAAACGCGAGCATTGTGGCCAGCAACGTTACAAACGTTTGATAGCCTGGCCAA